TCAATACACAGCTTTACTCTATGTTCATATGTGTCTACCGCATAAATGGAACACTGTGTTTTTCAGCAAAAGAAAACTTACAGTAATTAAAGTTACATATCTGTGCAATTTATATAGATGAGCATACATTGCTACATGTTCAGAGTGTGGTTAGAATATAAATATATATATATATATATATGTATATATATATATATACATATAAAGAGAGAGAATCTCAGATACAATTGCAAATTCTCTGTCTTTTCTGTAAATATATATTGATATGTATATAGTAATTCTAAACAAAAGTTTGCTTTTTTGTTTAGCATAGCCTTATGTATATAAGAGGGCAGGAGTCATTGCTTGGAATAAATAGACAATCTGAACTTCACAGTAACACAGTTTCCCCAGGACTATCTTGCTTTAAGTAAAACTTGCACATTTTTAAAGAACATCTTAGTTACCTTCCATAGAAACATTTTAAAATTCCTTCACCTCAGTAAACACCAAGTCAAACATGTTTGCATTTGATGATAAGAATACATTTAAAGATCAAGTCACATTTTGATGCAGGAGATAAAGGTATTTTCTAACAAGTTGACACAGAGTGCCAAGGTCACCTGTGGGCAGAGGCTGAGGATTGCACGTCAGCTCTCTGCTCTCCCTGCTTCCTGGGGGTATGAGTTTAACAGCCTACCACTAAGAGCAGTCAAGGAGGAACTGGGGCATTAATATTTAGGGGCTTCCAGAGGGGCTCTGCATGACAATACATGTCTTTTGTTCACCTTTAGAAGGTTTTTCTTCATAAATCATTTAAATGATATTGAATGCATTCAACTTCAAAGACCCCTAGGTTCACTGTGGCACCATATAACAGCACATCTGGGCCAAGCAAGAGGGCCTTAACTTTCCAGTCTTGTTAGTGGAGTCTTGACTACTCCTTTCATGATAGGATCCCCTGTATTCTACAGTATCCTTGAGTAGTATAAACTTACAATTGAGCAGCCCTGTTTGGGATCACCAAAGGTCAATTATTCTAGCCTATTTCTGTTTTACAGATAAGCATGTCTCAAAGACACAAGTCTGGGTAAGCATTAGCTGTTTCTCGTGTTCATGTAGCAATTATTATATACTTCCTATATTTAGATTTATGGTGAAGGTATTTTCTATGACTTCATTTCCCTCTGTCTTGGAAACAAAATGGGGGTAATAATAGAGGATAATTTTTAAGGTGCAGATGGAATGAATTTATATATATGGTATCCAAAGAGCTCCCTTGGTGGCAGTTTCACCATGAAGAAGCTTATAATATAGCTGAAGAGTTACCATATACAAAAATAAAACATTTCGATACAGATTCTCATTAAGCACCTGGATAAACACTAAGTAAATTTAGATTTATATGGTTTCCTGTGGGACTCACACTGTCAGGCTTGCACATAAAGCACTTGAACTACCTAACCATCTTGCTGGCCTGTGAGCTGGAAATTGCAGGTTCTAGAATAATAAAGGGAGGCTTCAGGGAACATGTGGGTCTCAGTTGGCTAAAGTGCAAAGAGATTTCTAAGTTTGAGGAGACCTGTGAGGTGCACACACACAGGGAAGGCAGAGAGTTAGGCAAGGTTTTGGTGAATTGGGAATCAGTGAGCAAACACAAGTGAGTAGATAGATGTTTCCAGAAATGAGAGATAGCCAGAACTCTAGTGGCTGGGGAGAAATCACAATAGAGCTGGATTGTGAGTTAGTTCGAGGCAGAGGGCTGTCTGTGTATAAGCCAGTGAGACCAGAAAGGGAATGGCAGGTCAGTTAACTGAGCTAAGGGTTTGAATATAACCCTGGCATCGCAAAGTGTTTCCTACATCCCAGTCACTAAGTGTCGCAGGCTCTACTGGACTCACCTCATCCTCACATAGAGGCAAGCTGTTATTCTGTCCTTACTCAGGAGGGAGCCAAGATGCCTTCATGACAGTTAGGAAGTGGTAAAGACAGGATCCAAACCTGATGGTGTGCTCCAGATCTCAGCCCTCAACCACAGCGCTTCCTTTCTCATAAGAGGAAACACTGTCAAACATGTTTGTCAAGTGAAGACACATCTAGAATGCTAAACAAAAATATTAAGAGAATATAAAGCTGCAGTGAACAGTAATGTGTAGTAGGAAGATATTCATCACATTAACTTCACATTTGGTGAAGAACCCCAAAGAAAAGACATACCAGGTGCTGGGAGGTTGTTCTGATAGTTCTGCACACACATTAAGAATGGGAGACAGTCACCTAGGACAACTGGTTTTACACTGAAGAAAGAAGAGAGAGGGGAAAAACAATCAGGAAATAGAGAATGGAGTGAGGAGAAATGGCCTTTCTTAAGCTAAGTGGTTGCAAAGCCTATTACACTCCTTTACCAAGACATTGACAGGGACAGGAGGAACCAGGAAATGGGCAGAAATCATAAAATGTCTATTAAAGAGATGAAAAAGAAAAACAACCCCCAATTCTACTAGTGCAGGCCAGCAAGCAGGTCTTGTAGGAGAAGGAAGCAGTTGTTATTGGCTTACTTTGTGTGCACTACACATTAAGTAAATAAATATTTTGCTGTATGAAATGGTTGTCATAAGTAATTATGCTACATTCTCATTATTTGAATGTTTTACTAAGTGACAACATTGATAGTATAGACATTCATTGTGGTATGATTGAGCAAATACTATAACATAATTGAATTGCATTATTTATAAGACTCGAGACCATATAGCATGGATGTATTTGTAATTGTTTTGTAATAACATTTTAATTAATCATGAATTGATTATTGGAAGCACTTTAGCTCATGCACTAGCTTACTGAGTATGTGTCATACCAAGGTACTAGCAGTGACATTCAGAAAAGGATATACCACCGAGACATGTTCATAACTAATTACGTATATAATGATTTATTCATGCACTTGACTATTTAAAACACTGACCCCTTATCAGTATAAGGACATTTAGAAAATTGCTGAATTAGAGAAGAACCATGGAAACAGGACAAGTGGAATTGCTTTTTATTAAGAAAATGTTTCTTTCAACTGATAAAAATAATTGATCTTTTAAATAAGACTGACTTACAATTGATTTTTTCCTCAATGCGGTATCATAAAGAGAAATGAGTGATAGAAGTGTATCCACTAACAACCGCATAAGCTGTATTTTCTCTGCCTTTAAAGTTCAGTAATACTTTATCTTCTGCAGTCCACAAAATTACCCAACAATCTTCCCCACTATTATTTACGTCATTAGCATTTGGGCTCTTGAGAAGATAATTCACCAATCATTATATTTGGTTTAATGTGCTCTCAGAAAGAGTTCGCCCTTTGGCAGCCTTCCCATTACCCTAAAAATAAATGTGTAGTAATTCATTGGACTTCATTTCCAAACTCTACAGCCAATTTCTTCTCAAGCTGGAGGTTATTCTGTCTAACTCTGAAGACCAATGAGCATGACTAGCACTATGACATACTGAAGTAAGGAGGAGGTAGAAAATTAGCATTGGGTGGTATATGTTTTGTTATTCTTAATGGCCCTTTGGAACCTGTACATCATTAACAGCACTGTACTGAGGAAAGCAATACTCACAGACATCCATGCTAACCATGGAGGCTGTGCTCCTGCTGGGACCACTGAGTCCTGAATTTTCTTCTCACTGCCCAAGGAACATGACAGTGCAATGTACTTTAAAAAGATTAAAATATTATTGATAAAACTTAAGTCCTGTGTGTGCTTGCTTCTGTATGACCACAGCAACTCTTGTATGGAACTGGCTTACAGTTCAGAGGTTTAGTTCATTTGTGTCATGGTGGGGAGCACAGTGGTACACAGGCAGACATGGTAGTTGAGGGTTCTACATCTGAAGCCAAAGGCAGCAGGAAGAGGGAGACAATGGGTCTGTCTTGTGCATTTGAAATCCCAAAGCCCACCCCCAGTGACACACTTATTCCAACAAAGTCACAGCTCCTAAACACTCCCAAGTAGTGGTACTCTCTTTCCTTGACATTTTTTCGTTAGTCACCATTTTTCTTGGGGCATATATACAGTATAATCATATTGTCCTCAGGCAAACATACATAGACTTTTCCTTTTCCCTACTGTCTCACAACCAACAAACAACTTAAAAGATTATGTAGACATAGAAGATTATGTAGACAACATAGAATAAATGATGGTTATCACTAATTTTATAAATGAAGGAACTCTTCTGCTCTTGCTTGGTAGACTGTGAAGCAGGCTCTCTTTTCCTCCATATAAAGTTCTCCCTCCAGGAGAACTCACCCTCTGTGTCTACTGGGTAGTGTCTCTTCTGTAGAAGACACAGTCCTCAGTGCTAAAGAGACTTAGTGCATGCAGAAGTGGCGATTTACAAACAGCACTTGTTTGGTGGGGAGACTTGGAGAGCAGTCAGTAGAAATAGAAAGCACAGATGGTTAGCATACTGTCTTTGTATGGTAGAAACCATGCTGAATACTTGGATTATGTCTTTCATCCTCCACAACAACCCTTCAACAGGGTTCACCATTCCCACTTCAGAAATAAGTGGGCCAGGACTCATGTCAGTCAAGTTTCCCAAATAAGAGAGAGCATGGAAGAGAACATTCATTTCATCTTCCATAAGCAAAAGGTGGTCATTAGACTTCCATCCTTGTATTCCCATGTATTTCTTTATTGAAGCAGAAGTTAGGAGCCATTAGAGCTATGTAACAATGGATCTTATGCTATTGTTAACTCAGAAAGAATGTAA